ATGTGAGCTCCAGTGCTTGCAAAAGTTATACACAATACAATACAATACAGTACAATACAACCACAAAGAAGCGTATGAACCACACGCACACTTTCCTGATTGCGGCAGTGGTCACCGGCTCAACTGGGCATCGAGGTGTAGTGGGCACCTTCGACGTTTGATCCCGTCCAAAGAGCGCATGATCCAATGAGCTGGACACCGGCCCCCAATGGACTGCGGACTCTGAGCTCTGTCCTGTTTTCTTTCACGTCTGGCTTTCTTGACCAAGGCTTCGAGTAGGGACCCCGAGATTAGCCTTCTTCCTCGGCCAAGGCAACCAGGAAGTAACAAGCCCACACACAATCTATGAACACATTCTTCAGATTCATTTTTGTTCATTTGTTGTGGCACATTTGCCAATTTCTCTGTAATTGGTTACGTGCTAAAATAATAAAAATATAGGAGAAAACAGAAAAAAGGGGAAAGATGAGTAGCGATGGAGGGGACTCGAACAATAGCGGTTGTTTTGATGATCTGAACCGCATGACTCTCCACAATAATTTTTTTTTCACTATCTACATTTACGCCTCATACAGTTATCTTGGGACAGATGAAACTTAAATAAGCCGCACGGTGATTATATGGCAGTAGTAGTTTGTCGGTTTGTAGATTCGTCTAGTCTTAGTCGCCTCAATACCAAGGCTGAGTTCTGATTGAGTTACGATTAGTTGTATGATGAAGAATGATCGGGACCTATTTTTCACCAAAGAACACGATACGTTTTGGAGCGATGATTTTTCAGAGTTGGATGGTGTCTAGAATGATCCCCTAGACGCGCATGAGGATGTTGTGGAGTAATTCATAGTGATGGTACAAATATGAGAATGATTTGTCACAAGAGTATCTGGTACGCAGTAGCAGCCATTCAACTGATTGTCCACTCCTTGAGTACTCATCACCAATCTTCCAGTGGGAACCATTTTTGATATTTTTTAACAGCATCTCATGTATTCATATGTTTCAAAGTACTTACCACAAATTGGACACCTGGAAACATCTGTATAAAACATGAGACATTTTCTAAGCTCGGTACCAGCAAACGAATACCTCGTCCATCCCATTCGAATCAGGTGCACATCTCAGGTGTGGTCAAATGACCAGATAATACTTGACCCATCCGCAGCTGATCGATGCAAACAGACGTTCAAAACGGCTCACGTGTGGTGCCGTTCTGAACCGAAAGAAAAAAGACCGGAGCATTTTTCCGCTTTTGTCCTTTCTATGTCGTCACGCCAGTTCATTTTACCACCCCCTCCTCCCTTACCACTGTCCACAGACCGGAGCTCCACAAAACGCCGCTCACAAAGTGCACACTTAGAAATCCTAGACAAAAAAGACTCTGTAGACAAATCCGTGGGACCAACCTATTCGGACTACAACATATGCTATGCACCACTTCGAACGGTACGCAACTGGGAGTACAAGTATCGGAATATTCTAGTCTCACACTGGTTACCAATGGCCGAAAAGATGCCCACAAGTGTCTCGTGTGAGCCAAATACAACTTCAGTCACATCTGTCGCGAGTGACGATGTGTTGGACACGTGGATGACAACACGAGGAGCCTCAAGGAAGAATCGTAAATCTAACGGACGAAATGATCGTCTCAAGCGACCAGCCAATTTGGTCACTAGAACCAGTTTGCGTGTACGACAATACTGATCGAATATGGAGGACGATCGCCTAAACCCGATCCTTTGTACTGACCTAATGAATGCACACTGAGCGATCAGACGGAATCACTCTGTTCATGAAACTTAATTTTTTCTCCCACTCGGTGTGTGTACAGAAAATAAACAGTCCAAATGCAACGACAATTCACATTCAATTGAAATGCATCAATGTGAAAGGCATGCTTCGTTTCACAAATCCGTTCGTTCGTTATCAAACATACAAAACGGGGTTTGAAGCGAATTGGGGTTTTCAATTATTTTCCATTTTTGTCCGGAGCATGCAGTCATTCATCATCAACTTTGTCCACTTGGCGGCGAAAATACGGTTTCTCCCTGATGATTCAAAACTCAGCATATTAGGATAAGTTTTGGTGTCGGTAGATTTTCCCACACCAACTCTAGCCAAAACAGCTTACCAGACGGACAGGTCGAGGTTGAGCCGCGGGTTCGTTCAATTGAGGAGGCGAATGATTATCACGTCTGGTTAGAGGTTATTATCTCATGGATCACATCATCATCTGTTTGATCGACCTTCAATTGGCTGTACGGTGCGTTAATATATATATATATATATATACATATATATTAAAGCACTGTACTTGCCCTAGTCCTGATTGTGTACAACAGAAAACAGATCACGCCACATATATCGTCCCAGAGACGATATTCAGGCACGATCTGTTTCAGAGTGCAATTGTGCTGTTTGCAAATCAATGCAAATGATCCTCCAGGTCAGAACCTTTGACCAACCAAATCCCGAACCGTAAAACGATGTTTGTAAACTCCTCTAACTGCCCAACTGAAATAGTAGCGCTCAGAAACAACGTGTCCAAAAGCTATTGCGAAAGATTTGAAATTATGGCTAGCTAGTTCCTCTAGATAAGTCATCTCTCCGGGAATTATCAACCTGGTTTAGGACACGAATACTGGTTTGGCGTAAACATCCACACGACTTCCTCCGCAGATATCTTCAGAGTGCACCAAAAGGGATTTAACCTTATCTGTAGTGCCTACTTGCGAGCAGTTGGTTTCTTTTTCGGATGATGAAGCAAAGATGCTGGAGGAAGTAACATTCAAGAAACTGCACCACTCCACTGCAAAAGGTGTCAGTTAAGCTGCGTATCAAGTATAAGGATTGGAAAATTTAGTCCACGGTTACTCACTTGTTAACATGACACAACAATCGCGAATTGGCGCGCCGTCCGGCATCCCCCTTAGCAGAGGTAATACCCGCAGTGACAAGCGGTAGCATTGACGTGAAGTGCGTGCGATTTGTTCGCATTTGGAATACCCTGATAATCAACTCCATTCCAAGTAGAGTACCGAATTACTTTACTAAATGCATCGGATATACTAAAAACAACTGCTGACCCTCCTGAAATGCATTTGGCATTCCCCAAGAGCTATGCATCCATATAAAAGCGGGTGCTGACGAACTCGCACCAACATCATCATCACTGGACAGCGTAATAGTGAAACGAACTTCACTGATCGCTGCCAAACTCATACTGCATACAAGGTAAGCGAAAATGTGTAAGGAGGACAGGGATTGGACTTGGACGGGAAAAGAAAGCGAACCTCTATGGCCACCACACAGAATACAGTCTTTTGAACCCCAACCTCGAAGACGAGACACCAACTCTACATAACCGCTCTGTGCATTTCTCCATGCTGTCTCCACGTGACATCCTCAAGTCTGCAACAGCCACTGTTAACAAGACGCAGTGCGGTAAGGGGTTCTGTTGGACATACGCAAAACGTGTCCTAACCAACGAAGCCTATTGAGCTGGATTCGATGAGATGTGAGTTCTTGTTCGATGCATTTCCAAACACCCGACGACTTACTTCTAGGTTACTAACCCGCTCACTCTATCCTACCTGGGCCAAACTACGTAAGCATCAATTGTCAAGACCCACCAGGTGACGGGTGTCTTCTACCCGCAAATTCAAGGTCTCACAACCGCAAAGCAGAACTGATCGTACAGTGGCGCAGTTTATGCGACACTTCAACTTCAGTGAAACGTCACGTCGCCGCCACAAGTGTTCAACTCCTGCGTACGCTGCTCGAGTCTTGGAAATGCGGACGGTTTTCTCCTTTGATGCGCTACCGTCGCTGGTCACGCAGCTACCTAAGTACGAGAAGCAGTCAACTTCAGCTGATTCCTCACATTCTAGTTTCAGAATGGAACTCGGCGACACCCAATCTTGCAGCATCACTTTGCACTTTGAAGATGCAAAGCACATGCTGAACGAAGCAACAGAACTTGTTAATCTGTCAAGTGCTCTTTGTGCATCCTCCACAGATAAGAATAAGCAAACGATGTCGTCAGCCTACTCCAAATAGTCGAATTCTGCTTGATTTGGATTATTGATTCTCTGAGCAACAAAGCTGCTCAAACGCATACCCGGAAGTCGGGCCGTGAACTGAAATGACTTCAGTGTTGATACAACTTTTTATCCAGATTGAAGGGTTGTGTATGTTAGTACGGCACTTCCTCTCTGATGACTGTGACATTTCCAGTTTCGGGGAGAAAAGCAACAGTCGACATTGGTGATAACATTTTGTGTTCGCGGATGCTGCTCAACGATGAGGAAAGCCAAGTGGAATAAGAATACGAGGAACTTCACCGAGAAACTTTGAAAAGTAGGTGCCTTTTGAGCTGGAGCTCAACAGCTCCCTTTATTGCCTCATGTTTTTCAGCGTCATTGTCGTCTGAGTCAATAGTAGGTCTGTAGGTCTGGGGGATGATTGTATAGAGAAGTCAATATCACAAGGCTTAGGTAGAGGTTTCCCTGACGAGGCACTTGCCCAAGCGATAGTTGGGACACTAACCGAAATACCTTGGTGAAGGATGAAGACAAGAATACCAATAATTTGGTCTTGCAATAGTTGGTCAACAGAGACTGCATCCAAGATCGTTCTAGCAACAACTACGAGTCAAAACAAAGGATTACGCAAGAAAATTTATCACCAAGGCCGGAGCGATAGCAATCAGGTCTACGAAACTGGAAACAGGCCAGCAGCATAACTTGATTTACACATCCGTGTTACCATGGTCATGAAAAACCACAGAGTGATTGATTCTGTAGTTGTTCTCCTCTGCTCACTGCATTTCACAATTCACAGACGTGTACTTTCCTCATCCGCATACATATCAAGAAACTTCACCTTCCTTCCAAATAAAGCCATCGTTCTACGCCAGTTCGGTCTTACGACGAACTGTAGCTTGCGTACAAATACATGTAACCAACTATCTGCATAGAAATTTCGAAAGAAAATAGCAGCAAAACACATTTAGCGCACAATCTAGGAGTTGTTGCCCAAAAGTGTGAGCTGCGATTCGTGTGACATTTTAGAGATGAGTAGTGACTCTAAGCGGCATAATCAATAAAGCACTATATCTGAATCCAAGGAATTGTACTTTGTTTAAACAGTCCCACAGAGCACATTTCAAATAGAACAAGGAGTGGCCAAAAAGCTCGTTTTCAGTGATTCATAGTCATGCCAAATACATCACAATAAATGTTTATATATAAATTAGTACTCAACCATAAAAACGCAAACAAATGTTTCGGGAAAGGAAAAATAACCTCATGGGTTATCCGGGGCTAAGTTTATCTTGGGACCGGATATGGAATTCTCAATGATCACATAATTGTTAGGTCATCCGATCGTTGAGACCACTTGGAATATGGAAAACGACAACAAATTGGCATCTCTAGACGTCTGTTTGAGTCGTAGACCGGACGACTCGGTGCAACGATCAGTGCAAAGGAAGGCGACTTGGAAGGGTCAATATATTCATTTTCGCAGCTTTGTACCGGAATTTGGTGCGCTGCTTAGCAGATAGAGCAAGGAAAATTTGTAGTGAGGACACCATAGAAGAAGAGCTCCGGTTCTTACGTACTGTCTTCACACACAATGACTA